CCTTCACCCAGGAGTTTCATTGAGTTCCAGTTGCCTAAAATGGCTCTACTGAAAGGCTACCAGCTGCACTGTGCAGGTGGTCATCAGTTGAAGGGCAGTGTTGCCCACAGTGTGTTGTAGGTCCCTTTGTCCTGCCATGTGGTTGTACCTACGAAGTGTGAGTCTGCAGTATGTGCTGTGAGAGCAAAGGAAAAAGAAGTGTTGTGAATGGGGAGGCAGCCTGGGGCTGTGGAGAAGGGTTTGGAAGCAGCACCGGTTCAGGCTTTGTTCATCTGCATGTAGATCTGGGTGAGTTTGTTCTTCTCTTGGTTTCCATTTTCCTAAGAAGGCTGTTAGTTGGAATTTACCATTATCCCTGGTCATTTCTCAGCTTCTAAGCATTTTTGCTATTTAATATTCCAGCTACTGGAGACTTAGGGAAAATGGATTGGAGATGGGGGGAAAGACATTCTGAAATGTACCTTAATCCAGTTTCTTCTACAGCCTTAGACAGGCAGAGAGGTTGGCAGAACATTATGTAAAAAGTCAAACCGACTTTGCTTTCTCTAACTGTTCCAAAGGCTACAAATACCCCAGAGCTGTAAATACATAGTCCTGCATACCCAAGCCTGTTTCTCCCATCCTCCTCCAAGAGATCAAGCAAGCTGAGGCCCCTCAGGAGTTCTGCCAGCTGGGGAAGGTGTCTGGCTTTTCAAGCACAGTTAAATGATTCAGAGTTAAATAGGCTGGGTAAGGCCCTGGGAGCAGAGAGAGCCCCGGGCCTATGTTAGTCCACAGCAGCAGTGAAAGAGAGAACAAGCTGTTTTCTCCTTGGAATACAGATGAGTGGGTGAGACGGCTGGCTTTTTCTGTGTTGCTGCCAGCTGGAAGCTTGGCCCACAGATGTGGCCTGTTTATGTATGGGTTTGATGTGTTTGTTTTCTTTTTCCCTAGGACAGGGTGAGGGAGGTGATGGGATGAATGGAGAGGGGGGAGAAATTTCAATTGGTTAGGAAGACAGAAAAGCCAGCAGGGGGAGAACTGGTTTCCTTTAATTGCCAAAAATGTTGGAAGTCATTTCTCAAAATCACCCATAACTCCTAAATTCTATTCAGTGCCTTTTTATTGAGGACTTAGATAGTGCCTAGCAGGTATAATGGATTCCATCTATAGAGTAGGTCATTGATGCTTTTATATAATTTACAAAGGGAGAGGGGACAGTTATGGACAGAACTGTATGTAAGCATTTAATTAGACACCAGAAACAGAATGCTGGGGAAACCCCAGAGGGGAGGGGAAATCCCGTAGGGTAGGCATTGTTGACTAAGGAATGCTTCATAGGAAGAGTTGATGCTATTTTAAAGATGAAGGTGAGGCTGTACATTCCTGGGTGGAAGGGAATGAAAAGAAGTGGAGCGCTTTCTGTGGGCTTGTACACTCACCTGAGCTCTGGTGTTCCAGGGTAGTTGCTGGTTTGTCCCTTTGCCCCGACACACTGGTCATTTTCAGCCAGACAGGATGACGTTCTTTCCTCCTTGTTGCCTTTTGCTTCCTTTGACTAGATCAGAGGCACAGAGAGGGAGGAAAAATAATTGCAGTAGACTTATATTTAGTTTGGTATAGACTGAGTAGGGTTGAGAACCAGAATCAGTATTTTTTTTTACTTCATAAATATGTATTTATTTATTAATTTTTTTTTTCATTTATTCTATGTGGTGCTGAGGATCGAACCCAGTGCCTCACATGTGCTATGCAAGCGCTCTACCACTGAGCCACAACCCCAGCCTGATATGTATTTATTTATGAACAACTTTTTTGAAATATACATACAATGCAGTTTACACTTAGAGTGTATAATTTAATAGTTTTTTTTTTTCTTAAAAGCAGATTCAGAGTTGTGTAACCACAACCTAAATTTAGAACATTTTCATCACCCCCAGAAGAAAAACCATGTGCCCAATTGTGGTCACTTGTCAACCTTACAGTCTTCCCAACCCCAGGCAGTCACTAATCTACTTTCTGCCTTTGTAATAGATTTGCCTGTTGTGGTCATTTTATATAAATAGAACCATAAAGTATGTGGTCCTTTTTGATTGACATTTTTTTGCTTAACATACTTTCACTTTCATCCATGTTGAGCATGTGTTAGTACTGTTTCTTTTTATGGCTGAATAATATTCCATTTTATTTTATTTAAAATAAATCATTTAAACATTTTATTGAAATAAAAAAACATTTTTATCTGAATAAAAACATTTAAATAAAATTTTTAAAATGTGAATGATAGTCACACTTTATTTTTCTATTGATCAACTGATGAGCTTTTGGGTTGTTTCTACTTTTTGATTATTGTAACTAATGCTGTTATAAACGTTTGTGTATGAGTTTTTGTTTTTCCCTAGGACAAAGTGGGGGAGGTGGTGGGTTTGTTTTCATTGCTCTTGGGTACATACTTCAGAGGGAAATTATTATGTCATATGGTAGCCTTTTGTTTAACATTTGGAAGAACAACCAGTTTGTTTGCATGGCAGCTGTACCATTTTACATTCCTACAAGCAGTGTGTGAGGATTCTAATTTCTTTACTTCCTCACCCACATTATTGTTATTGTCTGGCTTTAGTGTACCCGTCCTGTTTGGTATGAAGTGGTATCTCATAGCGGATTTTTTTTTGTGGCAGGGGGGGTGGTCCTGGGGATTAAACTCTGGGGCATTTAACCACTGAGCCACATCCCTAGCCCTATTTTGTATTTTATTTAGACATAGGTCTCATTGAGTTGCTTAGTGTCTTGCTTTTGCTGAGACTGGGTTTGAACTTGCGATCCTTCTGCCCTAGCCTCCTGAGCCTATGGGATTAGAGGTGTGTGCCACTGAACCCAGCTTATAATGGTTTTGATTTCATTTCTCTAATGACAAATGATGTTAAGCATCTTTTCATATGTTTACTAGCTATTTGTATGTCTTTTTAAAGAAAATATTTATTTAGATCTCTTGTCCATCTTTTAGTTTTTAATTTTTTTAACAAAATTACTATTGAGTTGAAAAAGATCTTGAATATTCTGGATACCAGATCCTATCAGACATATGGTTTGCAGATATTTTCTTTCATCCTGTAGGTTGTTTTTCTACTTTCTTGATATTGTCTTTTGGTGCACAGAAGATTTTAATTTCTGTGAAATTCATTTCATCTATTTTTTTCTCTTATTGCTGTGCTTTTGGTGTCATACTTAAGAAACTGTTGCCTAGCAAAAGGTAATGAAGGGGGGCTGGTGTTGTGGCTCAGTGGTAGAGCGCTTGCCTAGCATGTGTGAGGCACTGGGTTCGATTCTCAGCATCACATATGAATAAATAAAAATAAATTCCATTGACAACTAAAAAATTATTTAAAAAAAAAGTAATGAAGGGGCTTGGGTTGTGGCTCAACAGTAGCGTGCTCGTTTAGCACGTGTGAGGCACTGTGTTAGATACTCAGCACCACTAAATAAATAAATGTCCAACTACAACTAAAAATATACTAAAAATTTTTTTTAAAAAAAATAATGAAGATTTATTCCCCCCCCCCTTTTGGTAAGTTTTATCTTTTTAGCAATTACAGCTTGGTCTTTGATCCATTTGAGTTAATTTTTCTGTGAAATGAGGAAGGGTCAACTTCATTCTTTTGCTTGTGGGTTTCTGGTTGTTTCCACAGCATTTTTGAAGAGATCATTCTTTCCCAATTGAATTATCAAATTGCCCTTAAATATGTATTTTTTTCTTGACTCTATTCCACTGGTCTACATGTCTAGGATCAGCATTTTTACAGCCCCTGAAGTGATTCCATGTACAGTGAAGGTTGAGAATTATCTGGATGGGACATGGAATTTGGGTAGTTTGATAGGAAGGCAGCATAGTACAGGTTTTCTGTGATATTCATTAAAGAAGCTAATGCCACTATTCTTCCCCAAACCAGTGTTTCCCAAACTTGCCTGATAAGAATTGCCAGGCATGCTTACTAATAATAGCTTTCTTGGTAAGAGGGTGGGGAAGGCAAGTTTTTGCCTGTTTGTGACTCAGGGCTCTTCCACATGGACACCTGCTCCCTTTTGATTGCAAGTTGATCAGAACACAGGTTTAGTGACCTCTCCAGGTGAGTCTTATAGTCAGGCTCAATGAGTTAGTGCTGAATCTGCAGTGTCACCTCATAGAGGGCATCCCTTTAGAGGCCTGTATGCCCACACTGTCTACAGAATTGCCATTCCCAAAGTCATCTTGGGATGCTGTTAACACTCTGTGTTAGTGAGATTATAAGAAACAACCTCCTGAATCTTATTTGCCATGTTTATTGTGAACTCTTCCATGACCATATTATTAAATATTGCCTTCTGTCAAATATGCATAAATACAGTTATACCAATATCTTCCCCATCTGTGTTGTTTGCTTTATTTAAATTACCATTGTACTTTTCAAAAATATTGAATTTATTTATCTTGTCTGTACTATTAGATCAAAATCTTCATGAGGGAAGAATTTTTATTTTCATCTTTTCAGGTGGCCACAACCTTCCCTAGCATCAAGAACAATGCCTGCATGTAGTAGTAGGCACTCAATATTTGTTGAGTAAACAGAGGGGAATTATTGGGGAATGAAAGGAGAACTTATCTAAAAACACCAGAAAGAATCATTTTGCTTGTCTTTCACATCATGATGCTGTGAATCATTGAATTACATGTTTCTGTCTGCATGGACCACTCAGAAGTATCACCATATGTTCACACTCTAACGAAAATGTAGGACTAAATGGTTTATTTGTTGTGGATGTCATGGATTAACTTTTGTTTTTTCAATTAAACTTGTTTTGTGTGCATCTCTGTAAGCTAAATCCTTTTTGGAAATTAGTAGGCTATAAGTAAATACTGCTCGATTAGAAACTCTTAATTTCAGTCTTTGTATTTGGTCTGAAAATTAAAAATTTGAATTCTAGGTATGGGGAGGGAGAGGAGAAATTTTAAAAAATAAATCCCTTTTTTGTTTGTTTGTTTTTAGGATAGAATTTTTGCGGCACTTGAAGAACTTTTTCCAGATTATGTTTAAAATTGAAACCAAGCCGTGTGGTGAAGAACTTAAAGGTGGGGATAAAGTGCTGATGACCTGTGTGGGCATTGGCTTCTCCAACCTTAGCAAGACTCTCAAGTGATACTGTCACAAGATAAAGCCCCATTACCTACAGAAGCTGCCAAAGACACCAAAGGGACTAAGTCCACATGTATTGATCCAGAGCAGGATAGCCACTTATATTAAGGATTTCCTACTAAAATATCAATATGCAAATAAAAGGCATCTCTCTGCTGTGTGGATTCCAGTTATTTCTTCAGTGGCATTGACATTCATTGGAGGCCTGGTCGAAGTACATGTTCCCTGGCTGACCTAGAGGAACAGTGTCCTCAAGACATGATCACGCTTCTAAATCAGTATCACAGAAGCATTCTGTACTTTTTCAGCTCACATTCATGGACTTCTGGGCTGCAGCTATCTTCCAGACCTGTGGAATCTGTTACCTTTCTTTTTGCAAGGACCCTCCTCTTTGACCGTGGTATCTATTGTAGGGATTAAATGCAACAATATGTGTGGGAGCTCTTTATGTGTCCTGCAGTGCCATGCAAATGTCTGAAGTTGGTATAGTAGACCATTTTATCTGTTGTCTTCTGACTGGATTGCTATCATGAACATATGCTTTTTCTCATCTGGTTCATGGTGTGTATGAGGAATGGGTAGCTGGGGTGTTGGGGTTGAGCAGTTATTGGGTGTTTTGGATGTCTTCTATATACCAAGTGTGCCATACTATATTTTATTCTTATAACAGCCCTATGATATAAATTTTATTATCTCCAGAAGAAAATTCAAAATGCGTGTTTTGTTCCTTTGGTATTTATAATGTAAAAACGTAAGATCTCCTTCCCAGTGTTGTAATTGGTTCAGTGAATATCAAACCTTTAGTGAAATGCAGTGAAAGAATCACAAAAAAAAAAAAAGTAAGATCTCCTGATTTAAAGGTCTAAGTATAATGAAGTCAGCATCTGGGATTTTACCTGTGCATAAGCTGACAAGGTTGATTACTGTTTCATGGATGCTAGAAGAAGACATGAAAGTCCTGGGTCAGAAACAGAGAACTGTTAGACTCAGCACAGAAAGCAGCATGAGCTTCTTTTTTATATTGATAGCACCTATCTCACAAGTCCCACAGTGGACATGAAGGGGCCCGTCTAAATGCAGTGCATAATTTGGAAACTCCACCTCTTTTTTTTTTTTTAGCAAGACTGTTCTTTTTTCTACCTGGAGACATTACTTCATCTCTCAAGAATATTTGCTGCAAACACAGTTCTAAGAACGGATTTGATAAAGGCTACCCTGTAACCATGTACAGAAATACTCAGGACCCATGGTAGATTCTCCCTGCCAACAAATAGATTTCATATTTTGGTATGTATGGAGTTGTGGTTGGTAGCAGGGGAAGGATCTAATGATATTCTCCACCTGGGTGGGCTTTGCAGAAAGGAATGGTCTTTGCCTTACCAATGTTTCTTGGTACCATTTTTTTTTTTTTAAATCTTTTTTGTTAGTGAAAAAGGCCAATGAAAGGCTGTGTTCTGGTGAGCATAGGATGTGGGAGATGTGGAGATGGAGAGCTAAGCTGGGGGAAGGCCTGGCCATATGAGCTGAGGCACTCTACTGAAAACTTTAAATATTGTATTGGTATTCTGTTGGTGCATAACAAATGAACTCAGACTTAGCAGCTTATAGTGATGTCCATTTGTCATCTCATAGTTCTATAGGGTGGAAATCTGGGTAGGTTTTATTGAATTTTCTATATAGGGTCTCACAAAGCTGATGTGAGAATGTCAGTTGCATCAGACTCTCATTTCAAGACTCCAGGAAAGAATGTGCTTTGAGCTCATTGAGATTGTTGACAATTCAGTATATATGCTTAAATCTCTACTTCCTTGCTGGCTGGCTGCTGAATATAATTCTCAGCATGTAGAAACTCCTCACATTTCTATTTACTTGACTGTCTTCATCTTCAAGCCAGCAATGGTGAACTGAATCCTACACATTGCTTTTTTTTTTTTTTTTTTTTGGTGGCACCAGTCGTTGAACCCAGGGGTGCTCTACCACTGACCAATATCCCAAGCTCATTTTATATTATTTTGAAACAGGATCTCCTGCCTGAGTCACTGAGATTATAGGCATGTGCCACCATGCTCAACTTGAATCTGACTTCCTCTTGTGATGCCAACTGGAGAAAATATTGCTTTCAAATGACTCATAGCACCAAAGTCTACCCTGGATAATCTCCTGGTCTTACCATCAGCTGGTCATAGCAGTGTCTAGATTACGGTTTGAATAAGCAGGGGTTGGAAATCACAGATGGCCATCTTAGAATTCTGCCTACCACGCTGATATCTTAACTCAGACTTACCCATATAGAACTCAGATATAGAATGAAGTAGCCACATTGCTTGGACATGTCTGTTATCTGACAGAAACCTTCTGTCCTTTGGCACAAGACCTGGAAATGATACCTCCAGTCAATTCAGGGTGGCAGGTTCAGACCAGACAGATCATCCCAAGCAATAGAGATGATATGTGCTCCTTCCTACAAATCTGATAGTGTGTGGTGGGGAAGCAGCCCTCCATGTGGCACACCTGCTTCTGGAATTGGAACATTGGGTGGAAGTGGTGATGGAATTGCTTGGAAAAGGAAAAACTTAATATTTTTTAAATAGCTTCCTCCCAGCCCCTATTTTAATTCTCAGGAACAGTATTGTTCCTTGGGAAGAAGCTACCCTTTGCAGCTTGCCGGTACATTGTAGAAACCTTTCAATTCCCATATTTTCTGCTGTGTTCTCCGCTTTGATCCTGATTGGTTTAGCTACTGACCTGGGGTAGTTTGCTGAGAGAGATTCCAGCATTTGGGGGCTTAGTTTTCTGTCTTGGCCTGTCTGCCCCTCTCTGCTGACAGGAATGGAGTGCTCTAAGTTACGGCAGTAGTTGTTCAATGGGACCATTAAGTTTTGTAGGCAAGTATACCTGTGAATTTGTTCGATATCATGGTAGAATCATTGTATATATCCTCAGACCCTGCTTCTGTCTCTCAGCAGAGAGAATCAATCTCCTTCCATCATATACTGATGATTTTATCATACTTATCAAAACCTTGGTAAGAGGTGCGAGGAAACTAAGGTATTACACCATCATGCAGATTAGGAAAGAACAACAGGAGGACCTGCTGAAATTCAAATTGCCCCATCAGGGCAACTAAACCTCACTGGTTTTGTTTTTTATTTTTAAAAATATTTTCTGATAAAAGTGGTAAAGGTTGTCTAATCACAGAAGCAACTTTAAAAAAAAAATGAAAAACAGAAATTCATGTTGCAACATGGTACCTCTCCTTTGTCACTGTCACTCTTAGGTTGCCATTTCTATCTTGGTCGTCAGATTGGGAGGCTCCCAGATGAGGCCAACACTGGCCAACATCAACTAACTGACGTTTGGATCTATGGTCACTATGCAAAAGAGTTGAGTATGGGGCTGGGGCTATAACTCAGTATGAGTGCTTGCCCTTCATGCACAAGGCCCTGGATTCAATCCCCAGCACCATACACACACACACACACAAGAATTGAGAGTGCTAAAGAAGGGGAAAGGAAGTAGGCAGGATGGATTCCAGAAGATTTGAAGCAATTAATAAAATCAAAGGTAGGTGGAGAAACTGAAGAACCAGGGAAACAGAATTTTCAGTTTTGGTAGTACCTGAGGGGGGGAACAGGATAGGCTGAAGAAGTAGATTTGTCAAGTGTGTCAGGAGAAGAAGGTAGGTATTCCATTGCTTTTTGGTTGGTGCTACTGGAAACCTGTGGAGGTACATGTGAGTTGGGTAAGCCAGGCCATGGTGAATGGGCACGCAGCACCCTAGGCCCAACCTGTAACTCCATTGTTCCTTACCTGCTTCAGAGCTACCGGAAGTAACTGGGGCTTAGTCACAGCTTCCCTGTTCTGATGACCCTATCTTGTTCTTTAGAAGTGACTAATAGTTAATGGGAATGTCAGTAGACAACTAAGTCTTTTTGTTCTTTTGTCGACCACATCTTAAGCCATTTGAGTAAAAGAATTTATCAGTGTTTGACATTTACAGAGGCCAAGTGACATCATTCCTTTACTCAAATAAGCAGAAGCTGTCATTTTTGTTGGGCTGCCTGGGTGTAGGACTGCTTTAATTCCTTGTCATATTTGACTCGTACCTGGCAGATAGCCTGACCCTAGCCCTGAGCATGGGCCTTGGGTTAGCACCTGTTTCAGAACATCCTAGGTGTTCTGACATTTAAGTTTCTGATGGCTCAGGACATGGTTCCTTTATATTTCCTCTTTATTCCCAGCCCTCTAAAGAACCTTGCAACAAAAAAATATTCAAATTTAATAATTTTTAAATAATTTCTCTACTACAATTTGGGAAATGGTAGATTTCCAAAATTTTTGTAGTAGAGAAATTATTTAAAAATTAATAAATTTTAATAAAAGGTAGACAAATTTATAGGAATCAAAGGCCAAGTTAAAGATGAAATTTTATGAACCAACAGCAATGACAAATGATGATTTCATGAGGGCCTTGTTGTCATGGTGGAGAGAGTGTGGTAGGCTGCTGCTGGACTGATTAGTTGCTATCTAGGTAACTGGTCTTCATCCTGGGAGCAAATGATGCTCTCCAATGGAGATGATGGGCACAGCTGCTTCTTCCTGGTGCATCTGGGAATGATGGGACATTCTGAAGCTCTTTATCGTTTTCAAAGCAGAATATTAGTGGAGAGCATATATTTTGAAATGGTAGCTGGCTTGCTGCAAGAAGGAATCCATCTTAATTGTGACAACCAATCTCAGACTGTTCTAAGTGCTGAAGTGTACCTGGGTCCTGGGCCTCCCACATGCTCCTCTCTTAGTCCTAAGCTCTGTTTTGACCACTTTTGCTTAGTGTCTGTTAGCTTTGTAAAAGACATGGGAAAAAAAAAACAAAAATATTGGTTGCAAATTATGCAAAGAAAAGAGACAAAATAAATATCTACGCAATGAAATAAATGCTCTCCAGTTTAATTGGTAAAATATTGAGAACACTATAGGTGAGGGTTCCCCCCCCCCCGCAAGGATTTCTAAGCATACAATGATATAAAATGAACCAGCTAATTCTATTTTAAATGAGTTGCTGACCACCAAGCAATTTAAAAGGAAGATTATAAAAAGTCAGAGATTTGAGATACACACAGTTTTACATGTGGTTTGATAACATTGTCATAAAAGCCCTAGAAATTCAACCCTCTGATGCCTCCATTATTTAAGACACATCAAATTTAAAGCCTCAGCAGTTCCTGAGGGATCTCTGCAGTCCCCACAGTATACCCTCTGCTACTTGTTACCAGCACTCACCCTACTGTTAGTTGTTTAATCTTCCCAGGTAAGTTGTGGTGGTAGGGTCTGGGTCCATATTTTAAGGTTTGGTGTGGCTATGATTTTAAAGTTCTTTATTAAAAAAATCTTTTGTTTAAAAAAAGTCAGTTATTAGGAAAGCTTTGGTTTCCTGAATTTTAAAA